TTCTATCAGTTTTGGATAACTAGCAGAGAAGTAAAAGGGAAAATGTGGAACTGAACAAATTGCTGGAGAAATTAGAGTCAAGGGGCAGCTAAGTGGCGCAGTGGACAGAACACTGGCCCTGAAGTCAGGAAGACCTGAGTTCAAATCCATCCTCAGACCAAATACTTGCCACTTACTAGCTGTGGGACCCTGGGCAAGTCACTTAACCCAATTGCCTAAAAAAAAAAATAGAAAGAAAGAAAGAAAGAAAGAGAAAAGAAATTAGAGTCAAAAGACCTGTGACACCTTCTGAATTGTACAGTGAAAGAATATGCATGTTTCTCTGTACCACATGGAACTTTTACAAAAATTGACTATGAACTATAGGGCAAAGAGATTTATAAACAAATGTAAAGAGGCAGAAATAATAAATAGATCCTTTACAGACCATAATGCAACAAGAATAGAAATTGATTCAGGGACTACAAACAAAAGATACTGAGCAAGAGGAGACTTAACGATGAAATCAGAAATAATAAATGGGTCAAACAACAAATCATAGAAACAATAATTATGTTAAAGAAAATGTTAATAATGAAACAACATACCAAAATTTTGGGGATGCAACTAAATCAGTCCTCAGGGAAAACCATATTCTTAAAATCTTAGTTTAACAAAATAGAAAATGAGAAGATTAATAAATGATTATGGATTTTAAAAAATTAGAGAATCAACAAATAAATCTAAAGTAAGCACAAAAGAGATTTTAAAAACTAGAGGGGAAATAGGTAAATTAGAAACCAAAAAACCACAGAAATGATAAATAAAATTAAAAGCTAGTTCTTTGAAAAGAGTAATAAAATTGATAAACTCTTTAACTAATCTGATTAAAAAGAAGAGAGCCAAAATTTAAATCAATAAAATAGCAAATGAGCAGAGTGGAAATCACAGTAAAACCAGACAAAATGAAAAGAGTAATCAGAATATATTATGAATAATTATATGCTAACAGACTGAAAACACAAAAGAAATAGAGAAATACTTTCAAAAATATAAAATACCCAAACTATCAGAAGATAGAGATCTTAAATAACCCAATATTAGGAAAAGAAATAAAACTGGGTATAAAGAAACTGTCAAAGGAAAAAAATTCCTGGGCCAAGAGAATTCTGTCAAACCTTTAAAGAACAGTTAGTACCCATACTTCACAAATTATTCTCAAAAACTGAGGGGGAATAAAAACCACCCAGAATCTGAGCAAATGTAGCCCCAATACCTAAACCAGGGAAATATAAAATATGAGAAGAAAACTGCAGGTCAATATTATTCATGAACATTGACCCAAATTTTTTAAACAAAATCCTTTCAAACAGACTACAACAATTTATGCAAGAAATCGTTCATTATGATCAAGTGGGATTTATATCAGAGATGCAAGGATGATTCAATGTTAGGACAGCAGTCAACAAAACCAATCCATTTAAAACCACATGATCATCTCAGTAGCTACAGAAAAAGCCTTTGACAACTCTTTTATGCTAAAAACTCTACAAAGTATTGGCATAGAGAGACTTTTTTTTTAATATAAAAAGTATCTATCCAAAACCAAAAGCAAGCATTATATACAATGGAGATACACTGGAACCTTTTTCACTACATATAAGAGTGAAGTACAGATGCTTACTTTCACTACTGTTATTTGATATAGTTCTGGAAATGCTACTAATCGAAATAAAACAAGATAAAGAAATGAAAGGAATAAAGATAGGTAAAGAAGAAATAAAATATCCCTGTTTGATGATGATATGTTGGTTTACTTGGACAACACCAGAGAATAAGCAAAGGTTGAGATAGTTAATAGCTTCAGCAACATTTCAGGCTAGAAAAGAAATCCTTAAAAATCAACAGCATTTCTATATAACAATAACAAAATGTATGAAGCAATAATAGAAAGGGAAATCCCATTCCAAATAACTACAAAATGCATAGAATATCTGAGGAGCAGTCTCCCAAAGCACACAAAAGACTTGTATAGATTAGATTTCGAAGCACTCCTTGAAGAAATAGCCTAAATAAGGGGCAGCTAAGTGGCGCAGTGGATAGAGCACTGGCCCTGGAGTCAGGAGGACCTGAGTTCAAGTCTGCCTTTAGACACATAACACTCACTAGCTGTGTGACTCTGGGCACGTCACTTAACCCCAGTTGCCTCACCAAAAAAAAAAAAAAAAAAGCCTAAATAGCAAAAGTAAAATAACAACCTAAATTCAGTGTTCATGGCAGGACCATTCCAATATAATAAAAATAACAATACTACCAAAATTAATTTGCGCTTTCAGTGCTACACCAATTGAATTACAAAACGGGGTACTTTACAGAGCATGATAAAATAATGTTTCAAAATTCATTTGGAAAAACAAAAGACCTTCAGTATCAAGGGAAATGAAAAGAAGTAAAGCTGAAGGGGGATGCACTTCAAGACCTCAAACTGTATTATAAAGCAGCAGTCATTAAAAGCATGTTGTACCAGTTAAAGAATATAGAATTGGGGGGGGGGGGGATTAAAAGCGCACAGCAGAAAACAAAAAAAAAAAACTTTAAAAGGAAGCACAGAAAAGCAGGGTAGCTTTGAAAATGATGTAAATATCATTGTTAAACAGTGTGAAATGGGAATTCATGGTTTTATGTAGAATCCTCTTTTTATATTATGCTCTCTACATAGAACTGTTCTTTTTTTGGTCTCTTTTGTATTGAAATTCAAAATGAATCAAAATTTTAAAAAGTGGAAAAAAAAAGAATGAGAGATCAGTGGAACAGACTAAGGAAGATTCAGAAACAATAGAACTCAGTAACACAGTGTTTGGTAAGTAAAAAAAAAACTGAAGGGAAACTCTTTGTTTGATGAAAACTCATGGGAAAACTGGAAGGCAGTCCGGCAGAAAGGCTTAGACCAATACCTTACATACCACAATATGTTCTAAATAAATATATGGCCTTAATATTAAAGATCATACTATTTTTAAACATTAGAGGAAAAATAGGTCATATACCTCTCACAACTATGGTAAGAGATGTATTCTGAACCAAACGAGATAGAGGCAATTACAAAAGAAAATATCTAACTCTGATTACTTGAAACTGAAAAGCTTCTGTATAGACAACATTATTGCATCTACAATAAGAAGGGAAGTGGTTGAATGGGGAAAAAAAATCTTTGTATCATATTTCTCTGTAAAGAGTTTGGTATCCAAGTTATATAAACAATAAGTATATATGACTAATAGCAATTCCCCAATAGATAAATGGTCAAAGGATATGAACAAACAGTTCTCAAAAGAACTGCAAAGTATTCGCAACCAAATGAAAAAATTCTCCAAATCTTTAATAATAAGAGAAATGCAAATCAAAACAACCCTAAGATTTCACCTTACATCCTGCAAATTGGCAAAAATGACAACAGTCAGCCTGGGCTATTGGAAGTATGCATACTAATACATTTTTAATGGAGCATTTTGGGCAGCAGTTTGGAATTACACAAATAAAATGATTAAAATGTCCATACCCTTTGAACCGGCAATCATTATTGGGCTTATGCTTAGTTCATAGATGTTACATATTGCACATGTTTTCAGACTTTAATGTGTCAATCAGTTGTGCTGACTTTTTTTTTCTCTCAAAAAAATACTATTTTTCATATGGCATGACTTGAAGGGAGGGTATAAGAGAATACATGGTATGCTATGTTAATGTAAAAAAACAAAATATCAATAAAAACATTTAAAAAAAGAAATGGGATTGGGGCATATGTAGACAGGTTGATTATGAAGATATGGGCTAGCTCATCAGAGATCATAATAGGAAAGGCAGAAAAGAATAGAGTTTTGAGATGAGTGGGAGAGAAGAAGAGGGGTTCATAACAAATGGTTTCTATTTTCTTTTTAAAAGTATCTGAGAGGGTGGGGGGGAATGGTGGTATGGAGAATGTGAAGAGAGAAGAAAAGTTTTGAAATAACCGTTGTGAAGAACAGGGTAGAGCATCAATTATGGAGGAATCAAAGGACTGTCTTATTGTAATTAAGAACCAGTTGAGTTTATATCACATAAGTTTGTAAGGAATCCAGTTTCCTAAGTTGTTTGGCTCTTTCCAGCTCTGTTCAGCAGCAGGTGATTAAGATTAGACAAGTCAGATAGATGGTTGGAGTAATTCAGGGTTGGCATTTGACAAGACAAGGTTCATGATAAGATGGGGAGGAAAGGGATTCAGTAGTAAAGGATATTGTAGAGTTTAATAAAAGGGTCAAGATTGGGAATACAAAAAAATAAAGATACAGTGGAGGAATGATTTAGTAGAAAAGTATTGAATAGGGAAGAGATTGTAAATTATGGTGAGGAAGAAGAACAGGTTTAAGAAAGATAAGGCATGAGGAAAGATAAAATGGCATTTGATACAAAGATATTTTTCCACTTGACAGTTTCTCTTTTTCTTCTCCTGACTGAGCAGCAAGGGAAATTAACAAGTATTTATTAAGTTCCTAGTATGTGCCAGGAATTGTGCTAAGCACTTTACAGATATTATCTCGTTTGATCTTCTCAGAAACTCTGTGAGGTAAGTGCTATTATGATCCCCATTTTGTAGTTCAGGAAAGTAAGGCAGCCAGAGTTGAAGTGACTTGCTCAGGGTCACTTACCTAGTGTCTATGGTCAAATTTGAATTCAGGTCTCCCTAGGTGATTTAGGTATCAGTAAATAAAATGCTGGGCTTAGAATCAGAAAGTCATGAGTTCAGATCCTGATTCAGACACTAACTTGACTCCGGGCAAATCCATTAAACATTATCAGCTTCAGTTTCTTCATCTGTAAAATGGGGATGATATATGATAGTACCTATCTTACAGGATTATGAGGATCAATGAGATAATATATACAAAATACATTGCAAATCTTAAAATGCCATATAATTGTTGCCTATTGTTATTTTTTAAAATATATAATAATTATTAAAATGTTTTTCCTCCTTTTTAAAGGGATTTAAAGAATGCTGATGGGAGACCCATTTTCCTAAAGAACAATTTGTCAAGGTGGTTGCCACTATGGGTGAGTTTATACCAAAACCAGAGCATAGTTAACTTTGAATTAAAGAAATAAATTTCCTGGGTTAGTGAGGGGATCTTATTAAGTGATTTTGAAAATTTGTTGTACAGACATTTATCAAGTATTGGAATAATATATTCAGTTGTATTGTAATTACTCAACAGATATTTACTGAGTATTCCTAATGTCAGTCGCTATTCTATGCTTGTTATATTAATCCTAAAGGGAGATTAAAAAAAAAAATGTGAAAGAAATGTCTCTCGTAATCTAATATGGAAAAGCCAAAAAAACACAAACAGACATAAACAGCGCAACTCTAAAGACAATATTCATAAGTACTGTGAGGAAGTACTCGAGTCACAGAGTAACTTGAACTAGATGATGTGATTAGTTAGACATTGGAAACATGAAAAAGGAACCGTACAGCTTAAAGTATAGAAACAGCAGTCTCCTAGCCAGAGTTGGAATATACCTAACAAGTGTAGAATGAAGTAAGAATATATTTTCCTGGAGTTTTGTATATCTAATCAGAAAGACTTTAAATTAAAGGTGAAGGGGGAGAAAGAAAACTGTCTATGTATATCTATCAAGCCAGATGCCATAGGGAATGGCTATAAAGTAGAAGAATAGCATTTGAGACACCTAGAAATTAATAAACAAAATTCAAGCAAGATATTCAAATCAATTGAAATGAACTGAATCCATAAGTAGTAAAACACATGGCTTCACGTGACTATATATAAAAGCAAAATGTTTATAGACCCTTCAAAACCATGCTAATTTTACCTCATAGGTATTACTCTGACTTGGTAGCTCCTATGCTTGGAGTGTGCTTCTGAATCAGTATACTGTATTTAAATGGAAAAAAAAATAGGTAAAGGGGGAGAGGGGAGTATGGTAACATTTTATTTGCATCATTATCTCATTTGATTTTTCAAAACAACTCTGTGAGGTTAATGCTATTATTACCCCCATTTTATGGATGAAGAAATAGATTTAAAGAAGTGACGTGAATTGCCTAGGGTCATACAGTTAGTAAATGTCTGAGATGAGATTTGAACCCAGAGCTTCCTGTCTCAAAAGTCCAGTGCTCTGTCCATTATGCAATACTGCCTTTTATTCCATATTAAGAAGATTTATTCATGTACTCAGGAAATCTAGGAACCAGAGTTGGGAAATAATAAAGTGCTTTTGCATGAAAATCAGTAAGAATTTTGTAATGGGAATATATTGCAGATGCCACCTGAACAGAAAGAGGAGATAGATAACAAGCAGAAGCATGATAGGAGATGTCAGTATTTGTGTGGATATCTACCAAAAGCAGAGCAGCTAGCAATTGTTTGGTCATTTTATTTGTGTCTGACTCTTTGTGGCTCCCTTTGGAGTTTTCTCAGCAAAGATACTAGAATCGTTTGCCATTTCCTTCTCTAGCTCATTTCTCATCCTCCAGATGAGGAAACTGAGTCCAGTAGGGTTAAATGACTTGCCCAGGGTCACACAGCTAATAAGTGTCTGAGGCTGGATTTGAACTTAGGTCTTCTTGACTCCAGGCCCAGCACTCTATCCACTGCACCTGCCCCCAGCTTTAATGTTAATTTCATTTTTCTAAAGGTAGAGCAACCAAGAAAGAGGACATATCCATTCTGGAGTTGATTTTCACCAATAAGGGGTAACTGGTTGCTCCAGTGGAAATGATAGGTACTTTAGGTGTAAATGTCCACTTCCTTTTAGAGTTTGTAATAGAGAAGAAGAGGAAGGCCAGGCATAATCTGATATGTATCCTAGATTTTTGAAGACTAGATTTCAAATGCTCCAAAAGAAGAATAGGTAGGTAAGATAGAATTCTAGAACATTAGAATTCTGTAAGGAAAGTCAGCCCAAGAAGAATGGAAAGCTCTTGAGAATTAAATTCTGAAGAGGCAAATAGAAGCAATTCTTATGATAAGGATGCAGAGGAGTTATCTGAAAAGATCATTGTGGATACACAGGAAACTCACCACTTAACTTAGTTTTTAAGAAGATGTACTGAAGGGGAAAGTAAGGGCAAGTAACAGGCAGAATAAAAAAGCATGGAATGATTCTGTAGGAATAGTATCAGAAGTGCTCAGAATGAGCTATAGTTGAAAATGAAAGCTAGAAGCAAACAAAAAAATGTTGAGGAAAAGAAAAAGACCCGTAAGAAAAAGGACCATATGAGACAGCTAGATGGCACAGTGGATAAAGCTCCAGCCTTGGAGTCAAGAGGACCCGAGTTCAAATGTGACCTCAAACACTTGACACTTACTAGCTGTGTGACCCTGGGCCAAGTCACTTAACCCTGATTGCCTCACCAAAAACAAAAGAAAAAGAAAAAGGACCATAGCTTGGAGTGGATGAGACATTTATAACTAACAATAGAAGGTAAAACAACTTAATTCGTATTTTGCTTCTTTTGTCTCTTTTAAGGAGCATGGTGTAAGAACTAGAAAGAACAGAAGAAAAGTGGCCAAAATAGGGAATTGATAGTCTAGATAAAAAAGAGAGAGAGTAGAAGAACCTCTTAGGTTCCCTTGATATTCAAATCAATTGAAATGAACTGAATCCATAAGTACTGAAATAATTGATGATGTGATTGAATTATTGACAATGATATTTTAAAGATTCTAGAGAAGGGAGAGGTACTGCAAGACTCAATAAAGGCAAGTGGTCTGTCGGTTTTAAAAAGTGAAAAAGAGAATGGAACCTACAGACTGAAGGACGGTTACCTTAATTCTTATGCTTAACGAAATTCTGGAAGGTATTTGTTAAAAAGACGGTTAGTGAAAATCTAGAAAAAGAAGTGGTTATCACAAAGCCCATTGTGACTTCATCAAGAAAAAGTCATGCCAGAGAAATCTTAATTCCTTTTTTTTTGTCAAGATTATTAAACAGGTAGATCAAGGGAATAATATAGATACAGTTTGCCTGGATTTTAGCAAAATATTTGACAGCTTTTTTATAGATAAGATAGAAAGTTGTGAACTAGATCTGTGTACAGTTAGGTAGATTCAGAACTGGTTGAACAGCCAAAACTAAGTGTAACTCCTAATGGTTTGATAGCATCTTGGGAGGAGGTCTCCAGCAATGTGCCCCCAGAGATCTGTGCTTGGTCCTGTACTGTATAGCATTATTATCATTGCCTAGTTTAAGGTCATGGAGAGTTTGCTTATCAAATATGCAGACATCATAAAACTGGGACAGATAACAAACAGTAGGATGCAGAAAGATCTTGATGGGCTAGAATATTGGCTGAGTCTAACAGTGGTATATTTATCCTTGCAAAATTTTAAGTCCTTCAGCTACTTGGATTTATATATATACTTGGATTTTTAAAAAAAAATCAATTTCACAGATAATGAAGGTTAGGAAGTAACTAGACAACAATAGTTCCTCTGCAAAAGATCTGGGGGTTTTAGTAGACTGTAAGCTCAGTATGGGTCAGTAATGTAACTATGGTAGCTCCAAAAGCTTATGCTTTCTTAGGCTACATTAGGAGATATTCAGGGTCCAGGACCAAAGAGGTTTTAGAACTCCACTGTTTGCCTTGGAATATTGTATTTGGTTCTGGACCCCACAGCTTAAAAACTACTTTAGCACTCAATCTAGTCCAACTTTTATTTTAGAATTGAACAAACTGTGGCCCCAAGAGGGTGAAATGACTTGCCAGAGGTTACACAGATTTTCCAGCTGTATATTCAAAATACTTTCCAAGGGCAATCAGTCAATCAGCAAGCATTTTTATTTTTACAGTTTTTTTAGTAAACTACTTTTTTTTTTTTACAATATCCAGGCACTATTCTAGGCCCTGGGGATATGAAATTAAATATGAAACAGCCCCTGCTCCCAGGGACTTTGCATTAAGGGGAAGACAGCATATAAATATTTAAATACATACAAAATAAAAATAAATATAAGAGGACACTAGCAGTTGGGAAGGAGAAGGAAAGGTTTCAAATAGAAGACAGCATCTTATAATAGTCTTGAAAAAAGTAAGGAATTCCATGAGGTAGGGATGAGAAGTAGGTGAGGCATGGCGAACAGCCAGGGAAAAGGCATAGAGATAGGAGATGCAGTACCTTGTATAAGGATCCATAAAAAGGACAGATCTGTTAGATCATAGAGTGAGGGAAGCAGGAAGTAGTAATATGCAATGATTTTAAAGGGCTTTAAATACCAAATAGAGAAGTTTATATTTTTTCCTAGAGGCAGTAGAGAGACATTGAATTTTATTAAGACCTCTTCTTAATGAAAATGACCTTGGCAGCTTTGTGAACAATGAATTGGAGTGGGGAGAGGCTTGAGACAGGAAGAACAATTAGGAAGCTATTGACAATAAGAAGTGATTAGGATCTGAACTCAGATGATGACTGCATGATTAGTGAGATAGAAGAGATGTTATAGAAGTAGAAATGGCAAGATTAAGCCACTGATAAGAGAGTGAGGAGTTAAGGATACTACGTTTGTAAATCTTAGTATCTTTCTTGGCAATAGGGAAGTTCAAAAGAGGGCTAGGTTCAGAGGAAAAGATGGAGAGTTCTGTTTTGGACATATATTTGAGGTGCCTGCTGGACATCATTTTGAAATGGTCAATAGGCTTCTGCTGATGTGGGACTAGATCTCAGGTAAAAGAGAACCAGGAGAGAGTAGTATTACCAAAACCTAAAGAGGAGAGTATCAAGGAGAAAAGAGTGACTGATAGTGCCAGAGGCCAAAGAGAAATCAAGGAGAATGAGAATTGAGAAAAGGCCACTGGATTTAGCAACTAACACCCTTGGTAACTTTGGAGACAGCTATTTCAGTTGAGTGATAAAATTGGAAAGATAGACTTAAGATAGCCTACTTGTGGAAAAAGCACTCAGCTCTCACTCTCCAAACTCCTGGAAGCAACAACCTTCCCTACCGGTTACCCAGTTGAAGTATGTCCAGAGTAAGGAGATCAGTTTGGTGAAGGGGGAAGGGAAAAGGGGAAGAGAATAAACATTTAT